AACATTACGTTTTCTTTTGTTATCTTTGCCACAAAGAATTTTTTTATTTACTTTAACTGTAGTTATTTTATGTGCTTTTGATCTAAACATTGTTCTATTACCATATAGTGAGGCCCCAGTTAATAAAACGTTTTTATAGTCTTCGATTGTAAGATTTCGTGTACTCACTCCCTTTGCTTTATTATGTGAAGATTTAACTTGATCTATTCTATAACAATAAACCTTTGAGCACAGACCTACAAATTCTGTCATGAGTTTACCGTTAAGCTCATCTTTAAAAAACCCTAAACTTTTTTTGTTAACTCTTTTAAAGTTATATAGATTAATTCTTTCGTCTGAATAGTCCGAAGTATCAAATTTTGCTTCAAGATCATTACGAATATCTTTATAAAAATCTTCAGTTTTTATTGTATAGATAAATGAATCAGTATCCATATAATTTAAGAGTAACTTTTCCTGAAACTTTGGCTTCATATATTGATAGTGAAAATCATACATTTTCCATTTCGATAAGTCTAATACTGCAAATCCTAAATACATTGGCTTATTAAATAGAACGGACAATCTTTTCATTTGAATTGCATAGAAATTATCATTTATTTTAGTTGCACTATGAAAATTTGATTTTGAAATTAAAGTTTTGGCACAATGTGCTTTTCGTCCAGTCTTCGAGCTATCCGGAGCTTCCCATGTACTAACAAGCTTAATATCGACCCTGCGCTCGGGATCTTCCATTGTTTTTCCGTAAACAGAATTATTCATTAATTTAAAAAAATCTTTTTCAAATTTATTTTTTGCATTTTGCCTATGTAAAGTATTTAGATCAATGTACTTCTTTAACCAAGGCTTTTGTAAAAACTGAACACCTCTATGGATCTTTTTCAATACTAACCCATTCTGTATACATTGTTGCAAATTCCGATAATGTATTACATAATTTTTCTTATTTCCCAGGTCAGCAATTAATTTTTTTACCTTATCCTCTTTTGAGGCCAGACAGTTTGACGGACAAAATGGAAGATCATTATGAAGATCATGTAAACGGTATGGATATATTAAGTCCACTTCCAAAAAATAACCGTATTTGCTATCGATTGGAATATTATTAATATCAAAATTGTCTATATCTGTGGTAGACATCCACTTAAAATCTTTATATGGTAAAGGTTGTGACATTGCCCAACCATACAAGTTATTCGCATCCACATACATTAAAAATGAAGACTCCTTCGAGGAATCATAATCTGACAAATATTTGTTATTTGCTTTTGTATATCTATGACAACATTGAACTAAACCACCTCGAATGCTACTTTGAATAAATCTATACATATCTATATCTGTCAGCAATTCAAGTTGAATATTTGTAGATTTTAACATTGCCTCCCAAGATAGACCTGGTGTCGTAAAATACTGAGCTGGGTCAAGTGAATAAATTTGCATACAAATTTTTCGGAAGTTTTCAAAAATGTCGGTTAAAAGAAATACATCAGTTTTTAAATATAATTCTAAATAATCTTTAAGAGTGGAACAAGAGAAATGCGACCAAACTTCAAGAGCTTGATCATAATCTTCCTGAGAGCATTCCCTTTCCGTTAAATTACTATAGAATGCTTCCCTTGGTGGGAGGGAAGTTTCCTCGAGTCTACTAGCGGAGTCTAAATATTCATAGGGAAATATACCCTTCTTACGCATTAGTCCAAATTCTATATCATCACTGAAAAATGATTTAACAGTGTTCAATTGATCATCAACTAAATTAGAAGCTAGGGTGTCTAAACTTGATGGCATAAATCTATATGTATCGAGAAAACGAATTTCAAAACTATTTCCACTTAAACTTTTTATTTTCTTTGAGACAGAAATATAGTTTTCCTTATTTATTGGTATTACGGAAATTTCACCGGGAATCTTTTCCAACTCTTGAATAAATAAATGACAGTCGTATTTCGAAAAATTATGAAAAAATACTGGTATGAATTTGTTAACTTTATAATCCAAGTTACACTTAGAGTGGGCTGCACCTCTAAAGCGACCTGTGAAATGACAATGATCTCTAACCCTATCAGTCCCTAAATCTTTCTGACAAATAGAACAACTCAATGAATTATCAAATATTTCCTGTCATCCAAAGTCATTCTAATAGGAACTATTTTATTTAAGTAGTCATCACTCAATTTACTTAAATTTTTTATCAATGAATCTAAAAGACTCCCGAATTTTTCCCTGTTTCTAAAACAAATTTATCTAGTCTAGAATCAAAAGCACACTTTATATAATACGCATATGATATTGGAATATGCTCATTAATATTAAATAATTTGGGGCTCACTTCAAGATTTTTCGGATCCAGAATGCATTCAAAATCCGCGTAGACAACAAATGGAACTTGAAGCTGATGTTGAACTTGGGTAAATTCCAGTGTGTTGTTCTGGGGGAAATCAAAGCCCATTTAAAACAATAATGATCATTTTCGTTACAAACGTTAACTATTGCTTTTTTCGTTAAAAGGAAACGAGGTAGTGGTATGAAAGATGAACCAGCCATCGGTGTATAATGATTCACATTCATTTCCAAGCGAATCAATTTTATAAGAGACCATCCACTATCTCTCTCTTGAAATTCTTGTGTTTTTGAAATTATTTCCATGGTATGTTCATGGAAGATATTTTCTAAGTCAGAATCTTTATTCATGATCGTCATTTTACTTTGAAAACTTTTCATATCAATTTCTTCAGATTCTTCTTTAAAAAGTATATACTCTGCAAACAGTTCAAAGTTTACTTTTGCTGAAGTATAACTTTCTAACAGAATGCTGAGATGAGGTAGCAGGGACAATCCAGCTTCACTCAAGAAACTCTCTGGTAAGATCAAGTCCGATCCATCGTTTACATACATGTAATGTAGTATTCTTCCCTTGAATCCCTCAGAAATTTTTTTGACTCTTCCGTCAAGGGGTTGAATTGCATTTCGCTTATGCAACTCCGAACGGACATGATTTGCCCACTTATTCTTTAGCAAGAAACACTTGCAGGATTGACAAAACTGATTTTGGTTATTCATTTTTATTTTATTCGTTTTGGTAAAATTCTTTTTTCACAATCACTTTTTTCACTTTTACTCAAGTTGTGCTTGACGTAGCAGAGTATCCCACTTCAAGACTATTTTTGGTAGACTAACTATTGTCCTCGATCATTTATAGTGTTTGAAGTGGGCGTGTACGATAATATTGAAGATGAGAGGTGCATACTTAAGATTTTTTTAAATTCAAAAACTAAGGTAATTCTAGTAGGTTATATCGACTATTCATTGGTTAGAAGAGATGAGAAGTATTGATTTTGAAAAATATTTGATACATGTGTAACCAATCGGACACCATCAAATCGATAAAGGAGACACAAAATCATAGAATTAAGGAGAATGTTGGTTAGAAGAGGTCGCACATACTTTGCTGCAGGTGGGAAAGGAAAGGTCATTTTTTATACACACCATCATACTCAGGTAGCCAATAGGGGACAGTTTGGAAAAAATCATTTCGAGTTTGGGAAAAAACAAAGATTTTCATTTGTTGAATTTCGAGAATGCACATTTTTGGGTAAAAGAAGAGGAAAAATCAAAGATTTTCATTTGTTGAATTTCGAGAATGTATATTTTTGGGTAAAAGAAGAAGATGAAAACCTGTAGAAATTTCCTTATAAATCGTGTAAGCATATTTAAAAGGGTAAGACGAGATTGTTGACTTAGATAGACAACATGCATTCAGTTAAAATAAATAACTTTTTGAATGTATTTAACGGAATTCTGTTCAATGCACACTATGTACGGCTCCAGTTCATACAATCAAAACTCTTTGAATGTGAACGAGGTAATATAAAAACATCTATTCATGGAAATCATATGGACACCTGCGTGTGGAGCAATGATGCAGCCACTGAGGGAGTTGATACTTGTGTATGCCATCGAATTTCGGATTACAAAAGGGAGGCACTCAACATTATGAATAAATACTATAATCTAGAAAAAAGAATGAAAATGATTAAATAACATAATAAAACATGTTCGCAGTACCAAAATAAACTTCTGACTTTTTATTTCGAGTTAAAATTACAGGTACGGAGAATGGAAAATATTTCCTTGACTGAGATATGTCGGCTACTTGCGAGTTGTTGCGCGGTCGTGATTTCAACCCCTATTATGGGAACGTCGTATGAGGTCGTATGAGGTCGTATGAGGTCGTTGGCGTGAGGCCCACGATCTTGTCAATGAGCGTGCGCCTTCTGGGTTGTGCATGTGTCCCTTTTATTGCGGTCAGGTAATTGACAGGTGCACATGTTCGGGTAGCTCTTGCTTGAATCCCTTTTATGACATGTTTATGACCCATTTGTGGAAAGGAGAGAATCTTAGACAATTTACCAGTTAAACGTTCTGGGGCGGAAACAAAAATGTGTATTTGAAAATATTCCACATCTGAGAATCATTAACTTGTGAGATTTATTTTATTGGGGTTCTTTTGATTTCTAAATTAGTTTTACAATCATAGGAAACATTATTCCCCAACATGATTGGACATGTTCCTCTAAGATAACCACCTTTCACACGTGCACAGCAACACCTGTGATAATGAGGCAAAAGGGTACGTGATCACACCTTTCCCCAACATGATCGGATATGTTCCTCTAAGATAACAACCTTTGGATACTATGGTTGTGCGACCTTTCTCACGTGCACCTTTCTCACCTGACTATTAATTGCACATAATGAGGGGAAGGATACATGATCAATATTGTCACATGGGGATGTGGGGGCGATGGGGGCAATTAAGTATACTCTTTATAGACATGATCGCGACATTTTTATGACTTCAAAGCCCATTAAAATCAGTTAATTTATTGGATTATGCTAATTGTCCCAGAACCCGCATACGTTAATGAGGGGGGGAGGGGGGGCCGGGGGCCATTAATATGCTAATTGTCCCAGAACCCGCGTTTCCCTACTACTAAATCGGTCCTTTTCAGGACCACAAATTTCAATCAATGAGATACTAATTTTTATCTGCAGGCTTCAACCTTAAAATAAAGAAATTAACTTTTCGTCCCGTTCCTTCGTAAGTGAAATTATTAATTGTTTGTAACTTTTAGTGATTTGATAAAATTAATAAATAGTCGGAACTCGTCGTTCGATTAGGATTGGGTGGGGTTTTTAATGTGATGGAGCTGCTATGCGGCAAGGATGGTCAAGACTTTCAAGCATCAGACAAAAACTAAACAAAAATTAGCTAGGCTAATGAATCTATTTGCTTAATAAAACAAAAACAGAATAAAAAATAAATTTTTTACATTGTCTTTTTAATGCTAAGTGCAACCTCCACGATATTTATATATATGGGTCACAAAATAAACTGTTAATAGGTATATATATTCCAGAAATTATATATCGTATTTTGTAATATCAGATTTATTTAATAGAATAGATTCAATTTGACTGTTGTACTTTTAATTTTATCACGTTTTTGAAAAAATTTCATTACTAATGTCGGCATGTTTTTAGAACGAGAGGGTTTTGTGGGACTACCACGATCAACATTAGACATTTAAGCACCAACAAAAAATCGAAAAACTTTTAAACGCTATCTGAAAATAAATCATATGCGTTAATGAATGCATAATGTTTTATAAAAAACAAGAAAAATATTATTAAGTATACTTTTTACATTTTTTTCTTAAATATTAACTCGAGTGCGGCCTCAATGGGATTCATATATGAAACACAAATTAGCAAAATTTGTAAAAACTGTTTATAAACATGCATCCAAAGCTGGATTGTCTTAAGCAAAGACATGATATATCTAAGAAAACATCATATAAATACAATATTTTAAATTATTTTTATTTTTAACAGTCAGAAATCGATTGCCGAAAGTAGTCTGATAGCCAACTTTGTACATAGCCAAGGGACAACTTGGAACATGAATTAAAATACCTAAACTAAAGATAAGTAAATTTAATTGTAGTACTTATTTAAGTAAAATGTTCAAATTTATTTTTTCATTAGCAAGTTACAAAATATTTCTAAGAAATCATATTTTAAAATGGGTTTTTAAAAAAATTGCTCATGTTACGAATGTCTATGTTGAAGTTGATTCGGCAATAAAAGGTTGCAAAAACCAGATACTAACGTTTTGAAAACATTACCTACTTAATAGATTATTTAAGAATGTAAAACAATAAAATGATTATTACATTTTAGGATCTTAAGCACTAAAAACAAGAAAATATGTCTGCACTTCAAACAAACATTAGCAGAGCAAATGCCTGATGCCAGACGCACAGTTAAAGTGCTCTCCTCCTCGATTCTCATCCGAACGAAGGAGGTTGGCAATAAGCGCGCGGGCCATTTTCTATACGAAAAAGTGTATTTTAGTCTGAATCTGCAGTTGCAACGGCCGCTTCCCCAGTGGCTGCCCCGTCAGCGCCAGTTGAGAAGAAGGTGGCCACCAAAAAGGCATCTGGATCCGCTGCCCCAAAGGTGAAAAAGGCTGCTGCCCCGCCATCGCATCCGCCAACTCAACAAATGGTGAACGCATCCATCAAGAATTTGAAGGAACGTGGCGGCTCATCGCTTTTGGCAATCAAGAAATACATCACTGCCACCTATAAATGCGATGCCCAGAAGCTTGCTCCATTCATCAAGAAATACTTGAAATCGGCCGTGGTAAATGGAAAGCTGATCCAAACAAAGGGAAAGGGGGCGTCTGGCTCATTTAAACTGCCGGCCTCCGCCAAGAAGGATCCGAAGCCGAAGCCTGCGTCTGCTGAGAAGAAGGTGAAAAGCAAGAAGGTAGCCGTCAAGAAGACCGGATCCACCGCCAAGAAAGCTGCCGCCGGAGCTGACGACAAGAAGCCCAAGGCTAAGAAGGCTGTTGCCACCAAAAAGACCGCAGAGAAGAAGAAAACCGAGATGGCGAAGGCCAAGGATGCCAAGAAAACTGGAACCGTAAAGGCGAAGCCAGCAGCAGCGAAGGCCAAGTCGACCGCAGCGAAGCCAAAGGCGGCGAAAGCACCAAAGGCCAAGCCAGCGGCGTCTGTTAAGCCTAAAAAGGCTGTGAAGAAAGCAGCTGCTCCTGCTACTGCTAAAAAGCCGAAAGCCAAAACTACGGCGGCCAAGAAGTAAATTGTGCAAAAGTACAGTACCTGGTACCTGCTCGCAATCGCTATTTTATATTTCGAAATCTGAAATTAGTTTAAATAAGCCCTTTTCAGGGCTACAACGTTCGTGAACAAGAGAAAGGAACTTTCAATTTAAAACTTAGTACATTTCACTTGTCCAATTATCTTGTTAGGCCGTTAGCATTTTTTTCACATAAGTGTGGCTGCATTGATTTTAGCAGCTGTACCAGAGAATCTTAAAATGCAAGTCACAGAATGTTCGTGGACTAGCATTGCAGAAATTCGTTATCAATAGATGACCATGATTTAATAACTATACTATAAAGCTCCAGAATAAGTTCTTTAGAAAAAAAAAACTCAAATTGAACTTATATCACGAATTTGATTGGCAAATGGTATATTGAAAATGAAGTTCCTTTGGTAAAATGTGTTGTGGCCCTGAAAAGGGCCGTTTTGGATCTTTCTCCCCATACGCAGCAAGAGTAAATTACTTGGAGCTGGTGTACTTGGTGACAGCCTTGGTTCCCTCACTGACGGCGTGCTTGGCCAACTCTCCGGGCAGGAGCAGGCGAACAGCCGTTTGGATCTCCCGACTGGTTATGGTCGAGCGCTTGTTGTAGTGAGCCAGACGAGACGCCTCGGCAGCAATGCGCTCGAAGATATCATTCACAAAGCTGTTCATGATGCTCATCGCCTTCGACGAAATACCGGTGTCAGGGTGGACCTGCTTCAGGACCTTGTAAATGCCCTTCAGTTCTGCAGTAGGGACGCGGTGACATGGCTCAAGGCAAAAAGCTTTTTTGTTTTTTTTTTTTGCCTAAAACGCTGTGCCGCTGTTGACGTCAGCAGAGAAGTCGGCGCAGTGTAGAAGACTGCCTACGAAAACGATCGTTCAACAAAGTGAGGCAGATATTCGGAGCTTCCCTCTCTTTCTTTGTCTTATAATCTGCCTGCACTCGGCGCTCTCAGAGACAAATTTCGGCAGGTCCGTTATTTCTTTTGAGTCTCTCCGTTATGTTCGGCTAGCGACTAATGTTTCGGCGGAAAAATTTTCGTGGCGCAGCGACATGTGAGTGCCCTAATATTTTAGGAGCATTATTGTATATCGAAAAAAAACAACTAATATTGTTTTATAAAAGTAAATTATTTGATTATAGTAAAATTAAGTAAATTGAATTTACTTATAATGTTATATTTACTTATTATACATTCTTATTACAATATAATTTTTTAGTTAAGTTATAGAAATTTAGTCCGTTAAAATTGATTTAAGTATTTAAAACATTTAAGTATTAATATTTAAAAAAAATCGTATTGTATTTTTTACTCAAGAAGTAAAAACTATATAGTCGGATATATTTCACTTTAGAAAGGGTATAGGTGCAGTGGCACGCGCCAACAGCGAAGAGAAAACAAAAGAAATCTAGTAAAGGGGTGAGAAGACTTGGTGCATTCTGTTTGAGTGATTGAAAGGGAAGCATCAATTTTAATGGTGCGCAGCAGAGTTACTTTAATCGTTTAGTTAATATAATAAAGTCAGTTAAGTGCTACATTAAGTTTAAGATGTTGTGCATTGATCTTAGTTTAAAGTACGTAAATTTTGAAGGTATTCAATGGGTTCCGTTAGCCGAAAGTGGATGACGAAATGTTTTGTGCCAATAAAAATCCTGCAAAGGGTTAAACACAGCTATAAAAGGTAAATATACAATTAAACAAATAAAACGCATTTTTTAAACATATGTTTTTTCAGGAGCGTTGGTCAAGGATTCAGAGGACCCGGACAAAGGTTTACGAACGGCGATGTCTAACGTTAAAAATAAGCTTACGAAGCAAAAAAACAGAAACAATAATTGTATAATTTTTGAAAATCTAAATAGTACCATATAATTAAAATGAAATGAATTAAATTCTATATTTTTTTAATTGAAAACTCAAGGAAAAATTCTGATTTTCACAAGTGATTCACTTGGGACGTGTCCCTTGCAAGTGATTTCACAAGTGAAAACTCAAGGAAAAATTCTGATTTTCCCAAGTGTTTCACTTGGGACGTGTCCCTTGCAAGTGATTTCACAAGTGAAAACTCAAGGAAAAATTCTGATTTTTACAAGTGATTCACTTGGAACGTGTCCCTTGCAAGTGATTTCACAAGTGAAAACTCAAGGAAAAATTCTGATTTTCCCAAGTGTTTCACTTGGGACGTGTCCCTTGCAAGTGATTTCACAAGTTAAAACTCAAGGAAAAATTCTGATTTTCACAAGTGATTCACTTGGGACGAGTCACCGGCACGTGACAGGCTATACGAAAAATGAGTATAAGGAACAAGTGAAATCCCGTAGGACTTCGAAAAATTTTCATTTGATTTTTCACTTGTGAAAATGCGGACATCCCATACAATTTTCTATATGGAGCGTCACTTGTTCTTCACTTGTGCACGAGGACATGTCCCAGGTGATTCCCAAGGTGATTCACAAGTGAAACTTTTTTTTGGAACTGAAGGGTGTAGATGGCGTAGCTCTCCTTCCTCTTGCGCTTCTTCTTCTTATCGGTCTTGGTGATGTTCTTCTCGGCTTTGCCAGCCTTCTTGGCTGCCTTTCCACTAGTTTTCGGCGGCATTATTCACTTCACTTATGATTTCACAAACACAACTCACTGATCATAATGGTGCCCAAGCGCGTTCATCTTTATACTTTTTTTCGAGCAATGTTTTCAGGTCTAAGGCACCCACCCCTAAATGAACGCGCAGGCAGACGCAAAAGTATAAATATGTGGCTACCCGGGGCTCGTCGAGCATTCGTTTTCAGTGTGTAAAGTGAACTAAGTGAAATACTCGTAAAGAAAAATGTCTGGTCGTGGAAAAGGTGGCTAAGGTGGCAAAGTGAAGGGAAAGGCAAAGTCCCGCTCTAACCGTGCCGGTTTTCAGTTCCCAGTGGGCCGTATTCACCGTTTGCTCCGCAAGGGCAACTATGCCGAGCGAGTTGGGGCCGGCGCTCCAGTTTACCTGGCTGCTGTGATGGAATATC